ATTTACTATAAACCCACAGACTCCCATAGCTACCTAAACAACACCTTTTCCCACCCTGTATCCTGCAAAACTCTGTCCCGTTCTTCCAATTCCACCATCTCGGTCACATCTGCTCTGATGAGGAGACGTTCTACTCCCAAACATCCCAAATGTCCTCCTTTTTCCAACAACATTCTTTTCGCCCTCGCTGTCATCCAGATAGCCCTCCACCATGCCTCCTCCATTCCCCGCTCCACAGCTCTAAATCCGCCCCCCCCACTCCCAGAACATAATAAAAGTAGGGTTCCCCCTTGACCTCATGTTCCACCTCACCAAGCCTCCAACGTATCATCATCAAACACTTCCGCCAACTCCAATTAGACCCCACCACCCGGAACATCTTCCACTCCCTGTCCCTCTCTGCCTTCTGCAAGGACTATTCCCTTCGCCACTTCTTAGTCAGCACCACATTCCCCACCAACCACTCCAATCCACCAGGTGCCTTCCCCTGGAACAGTAAAAGATGCAACACCTGCCCACACACTACCTCCCTCTCCTTCAGCCAGAGGTCTAAACAGCCCTTCCAAGTGAGGCAGATCTTCACCTGCATTTCCTCCAACCTAGTCTAATGCATTTGGTGCTCCCGGTGTGGCCTTCTCTACATCAGTGAGACCAAACGTAGACTAGGTGACTGTTTCGCTGAGGATCTTCTCTTGGCCCGTAACAGCCAGTGTAACATCCCCGTCACTGCCCATTTCAATTTCCTGCCTCAACCCCCCCGACATGTCCGTCCTCTGCCTCCTCCAGTGTCACAGTGAGTCGGAACACAGATTTGAAGAACAACACTTTATCTTCCACCTGGGCGCCCTACAGCCCGGAGGACTCAACATTGAGCTCTCCAATTTCAAATAACCTTCCCATACACCCCCCCGGCTCCCCTTCCAGCACCACCTCCTTCCTTCCATTCCAGCTTCTGACCGTTGCTCCTAGCCACCAACTGGATTCATCCTTCCCATCATCCAACCAGGTCTGCAGTTCCCCCTACCCCCACATCCAGCCCTGAAGAAGGGTAATAACCGAAACATTGACTGCTCCTTTCCTCCAGATGCTGCCCAGCCTGCTGTGTTCTTCCAGCCTCCTGTCTGTCTACCTTGGATTCCAGCATCTGCAGTTTTTTTGTCTCTTTATGAGGTCATTGCCTGGATTGGAAACGTATTAGCACGAAGGAGAGGTTGGACAACCTCAGATTGCTTTTGCTAGAGCATCAGAGCTGATGGGCAACTTGATAGACGTTTATGAAATTATGAGATATGTGCGTAGTCATTGTCTTTTTCTCAGAGTGGAAATGTCAAATACTAGGGAGCATTGGTTTGAGGTGGGTGGGGGGAAGTTTAAAGGGAATGTGCAAGTTAAGTTTTTTTACAAAGAAGATGGTCAGTGCCTGGAACAAGCTGCCGCGGAAGGTGGTATAAGCAGATACAATAGCAATGTTTAAGAAGCATTTGGACAGACACACAAACAGGCAGGGAATAGAGAGATTTGGACCATGTATGGGCAGATGGGATTAGTTGAAAATGGCATCATGATCGGCGCAGATCCAGTGGGCCGTAGGGCCTGGTCCTGTGCTGTACTGTTCTACGTTCTATGCTTTTAGGATTCTAGGATGTGAGCCATCAGAGCTGGGACACCTGTCTAAATTTAGCCCCATTAGTTTGTCTAGGACTAGTCTAGTGATGGTGATGGTACTTAATTACTCTCCGTATTCTTTAGTATAAATGGGATGTTTGAAGTGTCTTCCACCATAAAAACTGCTGCAAAATATCCATTTAACTCTTCTGCCATTTCCTTCTTACTCATAACTATCTCCCCAGATTCATTTTATGAGGGTCCTATGTTCCTTTTGACCTCACTCTTCCTTTTATATATTTAAAGAAGCTCTTATTGTCAGTTTTTATATTCGTTGCTAGTTTGTCCTCGTCGTTTATTTTCTCTCTCTTTATTATCTTTTTAATCCTCCTTTGCTGGGTTCTGAATTTATCCCAGTCAACTTTTTACTTCCTTAACTTTCTTGGTTAGCCATGGTTGGTTTATCCCTCTCTTCGAGTCTTCTTCCTCACTGGGATGCATTTTTGCTGAGCGTCATGGATTACCTTCTTGACTGGTTGCTTATTGTCACTCCTGCTAAACTGTCTAGTCTGCCAAGTCTACTTTACTAATTCTGCCCTCATTTCATTGTGATTCCCTTTATTTAAGTTAAATACAGTTGTTTCTGGCCAAGGTTTGTCACTCTTGCACTGAACATTATATGCAATGTTATGATCACTACTTCCCAGAGGATCTTTTACTCTGAAGTCATTTATTAAACCTGCTTCATTAGCTATGACCAGATCCAAAATAGCCAGCTCCCTGGTTGGCTCTATGATATAATGCTGTTAATGGACTCTATGAATTCTTTGGCATAGCTATCCTTTCCAATTTGATTATTCTTCACATTGTTTGGGTTAAAATTACCCACGATTATTGCTCTTTTTTTTTACTTGCTCCCAATATTAGTCAATTCACAGCCTTTCCTACAGCGTGGCTACTGTACGGGGGTCTGTACACTGCTCCCACCAATGTCTTCTTCCCTTTGCTGTTCTTTTCTTACCTCCACCCAAATTTAACAACGTGTTTTTAATACAGTGTATTTTCAATTTAATCTGTCTTTAATTTGCAGCTTGTTATGAATCCAGTGTCCTATTAATTCAGCGAATTATTTTACCATTTGCTTTTTCAGACTGTATTTAAGTTTGGAATCAATTTGCAGAGACTGGTTTGCCAATTGAACAGAAGAGCCCTCCAGTTTGCGCATCTGTGACCTGTCGTAATGCGTTGAGATGCGAACAGATACCAGTGCAACACCAGAAGAGTCAGTGATTACAGAGACAGTGGTTTATATTTCCATTCTATTCCAAACAATACAAAATGGATGAGGATTCTGAAGTTGCTCATTGAGAACCTGTCATGCACCATTGCTGTGGAAAGTCAAGTCCTAGGGGCTTTTAGAGAGACACGTGCATTCACAAGGTGTTACCACAGGGGAAGGGGTTAATCTGCTGCAAACAGGAATGTTTTATGAAAAGATTTAACTCCGATCTACAGCAGTGTTGGAAAGCTGGGACCTGATGGTACTGCGCGAAAAGTGCAGTACCGTAAGAGATGGACCAGCAAGCACAGCCTGAGCAGCAGGATATTATCAGCGAATATAACACCCATCCATTGAGCTCGTTTCCCGTCAGACTGCGTAGCGATTGCGCGAATGAGTGAATGTGCCATCAACCATGGCGAAACCAGATAAAATGACCCGATTGGAGTGTGCTCAGATTGGGAGAATCGACAGCTGGTTAGCTGGGAAGAAGAGGTATCTATAGGCAAACCCCCTGAACTGCAAAGCACCCCACATCAATATCACTGATAAACGTGACAATAAATATGCTCTCCAATGGATAATGTGATTCAGGGACAGCTGTGTACACTGACCAGTGCAGCACACAGGGAAAGCCGTGTACACTGACCAGTGTGTCACACAGTGAGCGCCGTGTACACTGACC